CTAGCACACTACTTAGTGTCAGACTCTCGTGCCTTTATAAAGAATGTTTCGTTTTCTTGTCCTATCAATGTTGAATGTCACGAAAACTTTAGAATATAAATATTTAATTATGTGTGCAGTGACATGACATGCATGATTGCAAAAGCAAAGCTTTAATTCCTTTGACCTAAACAATATGAAATATAAAAGGAAGGGGGTTAGTTTTTTTTAGTCAGCTATCTGCTTTTCATGGGGCTTTCCTCTAAAACTCTTGAAAAAGCACACTTCTTTCATCCACTTTTGTGCATAATTATCTGATCCCACTTTGAAAAAGGCAATGTTTGGGCACTTTCAACTCCTTAACAATATAATCAAACAGAGGAGGATGTTGAATAGTTAATAGTACCGAAACGACGTCGTTTATGCATCGTTCTTGTTTTAGACATTTGATTCTCTCCTCGATTCATTCATAATAGTGTTGCAATCAATGGGGGGTTTGCTTTGATTTGCTTTATGGGCATCTGACAATTTTTACTACAAAAATATTGGTATTCACAGAACCAAAACAAAAGGGATTATAAAAGTATGAAACGATCATGTTTGGAGCAATGATTTTGTCCAATTGGCCTACCTTTTTAAAAAAGCCTCCAAATATAATCTATGTTTTTTTTTATATACTGGGAAATGGCCATTAATTGTAGTGCCCATTTGCACCCTAAACCCATGATTTATTTTATTTATTTTATTTTTTTATTGGTTAAATTATATATTTTACCTACTCTTTGGCATGCTTAAAGGAGTGAGTAATGGGCCATATTCTTTAAAGCTTAAACGGCGTCGTTTTCATATCATCATCATCATGATGCTGCTTGAGCAATGTACAGTTTGATTGCAGCTTCTTGCCATTGCTTGTAATGGGGACAACAACACCACCTATGGATCCTCATTCATCATATTCATATGCGTTCTTTCATTCACATTTATGATATTTTTGTTGCACTCCGATGTTCGTTATAAGTTTATTTTTTTAATATAACAAATATAAATGTACGAGAGTACGAAGATTTGAACCATCAATCTTAAGAGAAGCGATACTGCCTATTGCTCGTGTGAACCTCTAAATTTTTCACAACAGAAACAGTTGGGCAACTAAATATATAATGAAATGTTTTTTTTTTTAATGTATTAAAACATTGATTTTGATTTGGTTTGGTTGGGTTTGATTAGATTTCATTGGAGTGGGTATCTTTATTGGGCCGAAAGAGCAATTCTCGGGCCTAGCTCTTTAGAGAAATTGAAGAAAGAGTTGGTACTGGGCCAGGCCCAATTACCATTTCTCGACATTCTGTTAGTTCTGCTCACAATAATTAATTATTCTTTGAGGTTTTGTGGCTTCGTCAGATCTTAGGTGAGGTTTGTCTTCGTTAACCAAACACAACTAGTATAGAATCTAAGATTGTTTGGGCACACACGTTGCCTGTGCGTGCATGTTCAATCATCTATGACTCAACCGACTTACCTCTACACTAGGCCAAGTCATTTGACTCGACATTACCTCTACTTGAGACCAAGGTCTTTCGACGCAATGTCTCATCTCATTTCTCATCTTGGTTCCCAATTAACATGACCCACATGTCATGCCATCATCCCAAGTCACAGGATGTCAGCCATCACAGCTCACTTGGTCGTGCTATTGAGAATGGACCTTCCCATATTCATGACATTCATTTACGAAATTTAGTGGGTGCATGATCGAACCTTCGACATATGGGCTGGAGGCCCAATGTCAGCACTTAAACATTGTTCTTGAAAAATCCATTTCAAAGAAAGTCGTCGAGACATTCGTTTCTCAACACTCACCCCCATTGTGATATACCCATGTGCCCTCACTCTCATTGTGATACACCCATGTGCCATAGGGTAGCTCGCTCTTAGGCCGTTGCTTAAGTCATATGGCCTAGGAATAGTGGAGTATTCGATTGACACCAAATTGGTGAGCTTTCATCTTTCATATAAACAGATTTAACTCTAGAGCCGCATGCCGCAACACATGTCAAAACCTCAACTTCTAAGTTTATGGTCTAGGGCTCTACCCGATCATTTTCGAACCCATCTTCGATTCAATTTTAACCTTCATATGGCCAAATGAGCACCACTTAAGAGGCAAATCTCGTTCTCCTGAACCTTGTATAGATGATGCAGTGTTCTCCATAAGCACCACTTGAGAGTCGCCCCTCCGGTAGTCATATGGACATCACATAGGCTTTAAAACTCATCTTATTTTATCCCTCGAGTAAATAGGTGAGAATATTTGAGGGGCCACATAACCCAAGACGACAGCGTTTAATCCCTTGAGCTAGTACGTGGTATGATTCTTTCACGTGCCGTCGGGAGTGGGATTACGATGCATCGGACTGGGAGGGCGGAGGTGCGTGATTTGGCTGCCGGCGAATTGAAGTTATTATTATTTTTTTTTTTCTAAATTGAAATATTTAACTAAATGTTTTTTAACGTATTTCCAAGTTTATTTGAAATTCTTCCTCCACGACCATGACATTTTTGTCATTTTCTTAAATTTTAAATTTAAGAAAATATATAATTATTGTAATCAAATCAAAGTTTTATTTCAATTATTCTTATTTAATTAAACATAATATAAATAAATCCACCAAAATAGAAAGAAAAAAAATAAAACGTTCATCAATTTAATTTTGGTTTTTTTTTATAAAAAAAATCGCTTGTATTAAATTTTTATTGCCAAATTAAAAATCTGAAATTCGTTTAATAAAAAAAAATATATAATATTTGAAGGTAAGAAAAATTCGGCCGTCGCGAGAAAAAAAAAAATGATCTCGGTGTCGCTCTTGGATTATAATACTACGACAACCCGAATTATTTGAGACCAAAGGTCACATCGGACCGGCGGTCTTTTGGATTACTATAGCCCGAGAACCCGAATTATATGAGACCAAAAGGTCAGATCGGACCGGGCCAATCTGCCTTGGTCCGTTCCTCTTCCTAAGCACGCCCTATGAAGTAGGAGGAAGGTACGGGAAAAATCACTTCAACAAAGAAGCCAAGTACAAGGAAGTCCCAGCCAAACGCTGCAGCTTAGAATCTTTTTTGACAAGCTTTTTAGCCTTCTTCATGATGCGCACCCCGCCTTCCGACACCGTATCGGTACACGTGACGTAGAAGGTCGCCACCCCACTGAGGCTAGATTGAAGACTCGCCTTGTCGTTTTTCTCCAAACTCAGTAGGCTATTCTGCAGGTCATCAATGGCTGAGTCGTAGTTCTCTGTGCACACCCCTATGAAATTCGGTTCCCCCATCTTCTCGCTCGATGTTTTCGCCCGTTTTGTCTCCGACAACAGTTGTTCGATCGTTTTCTTAATCGCCGCTCTCGGATCGCTCGACCCTTTCACGTACGACCGGCACAGCGGCACGTCATCTGCTTTCTCGCAGATGTCCACTCCCTCAGCTTCGCCCTCCAATACCACAGCGGCGGCCACAAATACCAAAACCAACTGCTTTCCACCCATTGTAATTTCAATTTTGTTTTTTTTTTTTTTTTAATTTTTAATTTTTAATTTTTAATTTTTAAATTTTTTTAGTGTTTTGGGAATATGGCGATGGTTAGGTCTTTATAAGCTTCTTCGGTGCCTTCGTGGCTGTACACAACTCTAACTGTTTTCCTCACCAACGGGTTGTTTTGTTTGGCTTTCCTTCATTCTAGTGTGAGATTGAATGTTTCTTTACCTTTAAATTAAATTAATTTTTTCCAAAATAATTAGATTCTAACTATATAAAATTAATTAACTAATAATACTATACTCTTTAAAGAAAATAATTACATTGAATTTTTAAATAATATTTTAAAATTAAAGATCACATGTATATATTATTTAATGGGTATATATTAAACATTTTAATGTAAAAATATGTGTTTGAATATACGAGTTAAATGCCTATAGAAAATAATTAACGTTGTTAAATGTTTGTGTTGCCTTCATAATTAATGTATGAAAAATAAATATTTATGTATATTAATTATACATTTGATATACTTTTATTATATCGTTTATATGGCTGCTACATGCCTAAAATGACAAGACTTCGGATAGAAATGATACACACAGCTCCAACATTGCTATTGTGATTTTTTTTTTTAATGCTAAAGTAATAAAAAAATGTATTTAAGTTTAACACTAAATATTAATTCAAAATATAAGTTCAAAATATAATTTGGAATATTATATTTAGTAGTGTAGAAAATATATATCATTAAAGAGGAAAATTATATAACCATTAAAGGTGCTGAAAGAGAGAGTGTAGGGAGTCTTCTCCTTGGACCCGCTTGGATATTTGGGCTGGGTCAAGCGAGTTTGTAATAAAGGTCTTCTCCTTGGACCCGCTTGGATATTTGGGCTGGGTCAAGCGAGTTTGTAATAAAGCTAGTTTCGGATTGACTGCTTAATGAAAATGAACCCAATTGAAAAAAAAATCGACTAGGCGATCCATAATTTAATATCTGGGAAATTCGAATAAGAAGTGACAAAAAATCGATACATAAGGATCAGTGCTCTGTTCGTTATTCAATGCCCTAGATGGAGATGATGCTCAGTAAAGTAGCAAGGTGACAGGTCGAATATGTCCTACAATCAATAGTGCAAAGAAAGCTATGTGCGGCTAAGATTGAATGCTATGTGCGGCTAAGATTGAATGGAAGCCCCACCTGGGTTGCCCTAAGATGGAACATAAGCCCCACCTGGGTTGTCCACGCACAGATTAACATGGTTAGGTGAGCAACCGAGCCTCCCATTCTTTTAAGATTTCTTCCTTAGTCTTTTATTACCCGAGTGAATATCTATTTTTTTATAGAATAAAATCAAAATCATTAGACACTGAGTAGATGAAAATAATAAAATATCTAAATCCATTAACTTACGGAAGGTGACGTGGAAAAACAATAATTCTCACCTTCTATTACATATAAGTTTTATTTGAAACAAATTGTGGCTTCTATGATTATCACATTACGACAAGTCGGAATCATTTCAGACCAAAACGATACATCGGTCTGCCCAAACGCCCGTTCCTCTTCCTAAGCACGGCCGGAAGAGATGGAAAAATTACTTCAACAAAGAGGCCAAGTGCAAGCAATTGGCAGCCATATGTCGCAGCATAACGTCGACGCTCATGAGGTCTCCAACTTTCTTGGAGTTGCCGCTTTCCATCACCGCATCATCGCACGTGACGTAGTCCGTCAATGCCGCAGACAGGCTGATTTTCAGGCTAGGCTTGTCGTTTTTCGTCAAGTACTGAACACTTTGCTGCAGGTCCGTAACGGCGTCGTTGTAGTTCTGTTTGCACACGTCTAGACACTTCATAACGCCCAGCTTCATGCTCGACTCTTTCGCGTGTTTTGTTTCCGATATCAGGTGTTCAATCGCTGCCTGCAACCCGGCTGCCGGCTCGGTGGCGCCTTTCACGGAAGACCGGCACAGCGACGCGTATTCCGCTTTCTCACAGATGTCGGCCCCGTCAGCTTGCCCGGCGAGGACGGCGGCCGCGACAAAGAGCAAAACCATGTGTTTTTCAGCCATTCTAATTTAATAAAATAAATGGCTTTGGGATTATTTGTTTATTTATTTATTTATTTATTTATTTTTCAACTTCTTCCTCAAGGTATGTGCGAACTTGGCGTGTTTGGGTGCTTATATGCTCTTCAGTGCCTTCTTAACGGCCCAATAACAACGGCTACTTTTGTGAGCCTTTCCTTGATTCTAGGGTTAGAATCGGTATTTCCTTAGCTTTAAATAGCAAATTGGCTCTATTTGAGGACTTCAATTTTTTTAAAAAAAAATTATTTATTCACATATTTTCTTTTAACAAATTTCAAGACATCACTCTAACATGTATCCGAAGTGTTTGGACGATGGAAGTACACATCGATATAATTATGAGTTTATAATTAAAAAATACACGTGAAACCTTAATTAATAGCATTTGTTGTGAACTATAAATTTTATGGCAACTAGTTTCTTCCTTTTTGTATTACAAATAAAATAATTAAAAAAAAACAATTTGAATTTCAAATTCCCGGCACTCTACTTTTAAAAGTATATATAATGCCACTGGGGTCCACGTGGCTGATTCTGATTGGAAATAGAAAATATTATTTTATTTAATAGGAGGAAAGGATTGACTTGGGCAACCTTTGAGCTAACCACCAAGTTGACTATGAATCTTAAGCCAGATTCATATAATATGAATAAACAAATAAATTGAATTAAAAAATGGTGCAGAATATTCTTGGAAACTCGCGAGTGGTCCCACCTTCATGGTTGAATATTCCACCGTCCCTACTTTATGACTTTCAATTAAATATCTTGGTAACGCTCCTATCTAAATATTAAAAATTCTCTAAGTTAGCATATTAATTATAAATATTAAATATTTTTAATAATTTTACTGAAGTAAGATAAGATTTAGTTTGGAAGTAACTAATTTTTTTTTAATGTAACCGAACTAAAAGCCGGAGCTAATTAAATTCTTGGATTACAGTTTTGTTTTGCAAATAAGGTAATTTTGTTTGGTGTAAATACATTTTCTTTTTCGATAATCTGTGTGGGTATATTCCAGTTTTGTCGTTTATCGTTATATCGGATATGACAAGGACAGACTGGACTTCTCAATGTAAAAGTCAGAATCTGAGGGTATATCCCGTGTGTTGACTTTTGTGTCCATTGCCATCCGACCTCACATATCACATGGATAGAAGGGTCTTTTCACAACGAACTTAGGTTAATCTCCGACTTTGTTGAATATCCTGTGGGTGGGTATAGTTGTAATTTTAGGGAGAAATAGACCTTTTTATTAAAAAATGGTGAGTTGGCATGGCTAGTTTGGATTGGGTGACCTCATTCATACGCATATATTCATCTTTTTGTATACAATCGTCTTCTTCATGTCTCTAAGTCGTTGTTTTTGTTTGGAGTAAAACCAATTTGCGTCGATAACTATGTCGGTATAAGGCTGAGATTTGGCCTATTCCACCATATTTTCCGGCTTCCAATCTTCTCCTTTTCGATCCCTCAAAGAGCCATCCTAAATTCCCTTTAAATAATTTCCCAAATTCCCAATTTTAAACAAAATTCAGCCGTGAATATGGCGGTTCAAGGCGGAGCACCGGCCGCTCAGCCCAGGAAGTTCTCTCTTCCGGTGGACTCCGAACACAAATCCACCAAATTCAATATATTCTCCGTCGCAGCTCCCCACATGCGAACGTTTCACCTATCCTGGATTTCGTTCTGCGCGTGTTTTGTCTCCAGTTTTGCGGCAGCTCCTCTGCTTCCGGTGATCCGCGACAATCTTAATTTAACCGACACTGACATTGGGAACGCCGGAATTGCCTCCGTCTCCGGCGCTGTCTTTGCCCGTATCATGATGGGTTCCGCCTGTGATTTAGTCGGACCACGTCTCGCCTCTGCCTCACTCATCCTCATAACCTCGCCGGCTGTTTATTTAACCTCCATAGCCTCATCCCCTGCTTCGTTTTTCCTCGTTCGATTCTTCACTGGATTCTCTCTCGCCACATTCGTCTCGACCCAATTCTGGATGAGCTCAATGTTCTCCTCCACCGTCGTCGGCACCGCCAACGGCGTAGCCGGCGGTTGGGGGAACTTAGGCGGCGGCGCAACACAGCTGATTATGCCGTACGTGTTCGCCATCATCGAGCAAATCGGCGCAACGAAATTCACCGCGTGGAGAATCGCTTTCTTCATCCCAGCGATTTTCCAAACGCTTTCGGCTTTCGCGGTTCTGATGCTCGGCGAGGACACGCCGGACGGGAACTTCGGGGAGCTGCAGAAAACAGGGGAGAAGGCAAAAGACAAATTTTCAACGGTGGTGTACAATGGGGCGAAGAATTACAGGGGATGGATTTTGGCATTGACTTATGGGTACTGTTTTGGGGTGGAATTAACGATTGACAATATAATAGCGAATTATTTCTACGATAGGTTCAATTTGAACCTGCACACGGCAGGGATCATAGCGGCGAGCTTTGGGCTGGCTAACCTTTTTTCGAGGCCGTACGGAGGGATACTGTCGGACGTGGTGGCGAAGAGGTACGGGATGAGGGGGAGGCTGTGGGCTCTGTGGTTGGTGCAGACATTGGGCGGAGTTTTCTGTGTGATTCTTGGATTGGTTCAGTCTTTGAGTGTTTCCATTGCCATTATGATTATTTTCTCTCTCTTTGTTCAAGCTGCGTGTGGACTTACATTTGGTGTCGTTCCTTTCATCTCCAGAAGGTACGTAATCCCAAACTTTTTTTTTTTTTTTTTTTTTTTTTTTTTTAACTTAACTTATAAATTTATATATATAGTAATTTATATAAATTTAAAAGTTTTTTTATTATTATTTTGAAAAATTGGGTTTTATAAAGTAAATAGGAAAATAAATAAGTATTAAAACTTTGAAGAATAAGAATATGAAATAAAATAAATGCGAAGATGGCTTGTATATTATACTTTCCATGTTTGACAACGAAAAAAATGAAAAATAGAAAGATATGATTAATTCTTTACAACCATGTTCAACCTTATATGGACATGTAGACAAACACTTTTGTAGGTATATGACAAACATTTTAATAAAAACTCTTATTATTTCCAACTCATTGTTTTAATCATTTATTTAATTTTTTATTTTTTTAATAAAAATAAAATATTTTTCAAAATTTTATTAAAGTTTGAGTAATTGATAATTATTTTTAAAAATTATTTAAAAATTAGTGGTTGGGGTGATCGATTTTTTTGAACACCCTTGCATTTAAATCTTTGGTGACAGGTCGTTGGGGGTAATATCGGGGATGACAGGAGCGGGGGGGAACGTGGGGTCGGTACTGACTCAGTTGATATTCTTCAGAGGGTCAAGATACAGCAAAGAGAAGGGGATAAGTCTGATGGGAGTTATGATAATAGGGTGCACTCTTCCAATAGTGTTAATATATTTCCCACAGTGGGGCAGCATGCTGACCGGACCAGCTTCCTCCAAGATAGCTTCCGAGGAGGAGTATTACTTGTCGGAGTGGACCCCTGAGGAGAAGGCCAAAGGCTACCATTTGGCTGCCCTCAAGTTTGCTGATAACAGCCGAACTGAAAGAGGCAAAAGCCTCAGTAAGGGCACTGCTGATGCTGCCTCTGCCTCGGCTTCGCCTCACGTCTGAGAAACACAAAAACCATGTTGGGCTTCAAGTTTGGGCCTTGCTCTGTATTTGGGCTTAAGGCCCACTTCCACGACGCAATTCGTACGTTTTTTTTTTTTCCTTCTTCCGTCCACGTGTAGTGGGAGAGAAGATTTAATCCGTTTAAGTTAGGTAAATAATTGTTATATGATTATCTATAAATTTCATGTAAGCTCTATTTTAATTTATAATAATTCGGATTGGGATGAGTTCTCAAATATTTAATCTATTGCTATGATATTCGTAATTATTTAATATTTGAACAATATATTACTTACGGAATATATCTTAGATATTCTTTGATTAATAGTATATTTTGTATTTTGTATCTTATTTAAAGGTTGTGAATATCAATAAATATTGAACTTCTATGTATCTTATATTTTCATATCTATTCACAGTTTGAGGGGTAAATATTGTCATCTATTTTCTTAAATTCTAAAAGTTATAACCCACAGTCCAACCCAATATGTACGGTTTAAGTTAAAGTTATAAATTTATTCGTTGAATTCTTGTGTTCTCCTAAAGTTAGATTGGATTGAATCGAACCAACTCGAATTTATTGTTAATTTTAAAATTACATATTTACTTTTGATATCTATATATTTTTATTTAATTATCTAATTAATTTTTTATTATAACCTTGAAAGATTTTAATTATTTGAAAAATATTTTTTTATAATAATATTAAAATTGAGTTACAAATTTTAATTAAATGACTACAAATAATTAAATAAATGCTTCACGGATTAACATTTTATTTTTATTAAAAACAAAAGTTTGTTCCCATCCCAATCCAAGATTAAATTAGGTTAGATTCATTATTTAACGAGAATTGTTTGAATTAAAAAAATTTATGATACAAACCCTAATATCAGACGTGGGATTCATTCCGCACAAGCATTCCTCGGCTATAACCATCATTAAACTCTCTTTTAGTTAGCCATTTCTTCTCCACCAACCAATTTACCAAAAGGCGAAGGGAATAGAATAGAAGAATAAATCACCACTTCAACTCATTACAACTTCCAAAACCTTCTCAATAAAGTAAAAAAGTAACGTTTTTGGCAAATGGGTGGGCGAAATTTCGGCCACTGTGTGTGTACTAATCGGGAAACGAGACACTCATAGACTCAGAAATGATATCAACGCCAAAACCCACAACCATAAATGCTTTTACAATCATCACCTCTCTACATTTTCCAAAACTAAATCTGCAGAAGGGAAGCTGGAGAAGAGGAAAAACAGAAACAGAGAGAAAGTGGAGAGGTTTGTGCATTAGTAGCAGACATAATCATAATCATGGGACCTTGCAATTCTCCTAACAGCGCCACCGCCACCGCCACCGCCACCGCCACCGCCACCGCCACCGCCGCTTCTCA